AATCCACTATCAGCCCCAAATATGGGAATTGAAACCTTGAACGGTGCGAATTTTTCTTCATGGAAAGATTCACTGATGCTAACTCTTGGCATGTTGGATTTTGATTATGCACTGAGAGAGCCTGCCCCTCCTGCCCTCACTGATAAAAGTACTGCTGAAGATAAAATAGTACATGAGAGATGGGAGAGGTGCAACAGAATGGCTCTTATGCTCATTAAAAATTCCATCAGCATAATCATCAGGGGGGCTATTCCAGATTCATCTAATGCTAAAATATATCTGGCTTCTGTGGAGGAACAATTCAAAGCAACTTCTAAGGCACATGCTAGTACTCTTATTTTGAAGATGGTGACTACGAAATATGACGGGAAAAGCGGCATTCGTGAGCACATCATGATGATGAACGACATGGCCCGCAAGCTTAAGGGATTAGACATGGAGATCAGTGAAGGTTTTCTGGTGCACTTCATAATGACTTCTCTTCCTGCATCTTTTGAAGCTTTCAAGGTCAACTACAACACCCAAAAGGTCAAGTGGTCGATGAATGAGTTGATTGCTATGTGCGTACAAGAAGAAGAGCGTCTGAAGCTGGACAAACCTGATGTGGCTTACCTCATGACCGCTAATCCAAAGAAGAGGAAGGGCAATGTCGATAAGAAGGAAGTTTCTAAAGTCCAGAAACGTGATGCAAGTGCTTCTTCCAGCTCTAAGAACTCCAAAGGGAAGTCTTACTGCAAGTTCTGCCGCAAGGAAGGACATAGACAGAAAGACTGCCAAGACTTTAAGGAGTGGCTGACGAAGAAAGGTAATCATCTTTACATGATACTTGAGTCCTTTAATTTAAATGTTCCAACTAATACATGGTGGTTTGACTCTGGTTCTATGGTTCATGTAACCAACTCACTTCAGGGATTCCTTACAATCCAGAAGCTGGAAAGAAACCGAAGAACACTTAAGCTGGGGAATGGAACAGAACTAGCTGTCGAANACTATACTTGTCCTTTACGTAGATGACATTCTATTGGCAAGTAATAGTTTAGACATGTTGCATGAGTCCAAGCGCTTACTCTCGCGTAATTTTGACATGAAAGATCTCGGAGAGGCTTCTTATGTTATTGGCATCGAAATACACCGAGATAGAATCAATGGTATTTTGGGATTATCTCAAAAGGCTTACATTGAGCGTGTCCTTACATGTTTTAACATGCAACATTGCTCTCCTTCTGTGGCTCCAGTAGTTAAGGGAGATGTTTTCGGTTTATTTCAATGTCCGAAAACAGAGGTTGAAAAGGAACAGATGAGAATGATACCTTATGCGTCAGTAGTAGGAAGCCTTATGTATGCACAAGTCTGTACTCGTCCAGATATCGCTTACATTGCTGGAATGTTGGGTCGTTATCAGACTAATCCTGGTCTGGATCACTGGAAAGCAGCTAAGAAAGTTCTTCGATATCTACAAGGGACAAAAGACTATAAACTGACTTATAGAAGGAGTGATAATTTAGAAGTGGTTGGTTATTCTGATTCTGACTTTGCTAAGTGCAAAGATGACAAAAAATCCACTTCAGGGTATATCTTTATGTTAGCTGGCGGACCTATCTCGTGGAAGAGTCATAAGCAAGAGTTGACTGCAACTTCTACAATGATGGCAGAATACATTGCGGTGTACAACGCAACCTGTCATGGGATATTGCTTAGAAACCTCATCACTGGACTCAAAGTAGTTAATTCCATCTCTCGACCATTGAAGCTTTATAGTGATAACTCAGCCGCCGTTAGTTTCTCGAACAGTAACAGTTCGACTGGCGCTGCTTTATATCTTGATACAAAGTACTTGTTCGTACGTGAGCAAGTTGAAGAAAATAAACTTTGTATTGAGCATATAAGTACTAAGAATATGCTAGCGGATCCGATGACTAAAGGTCTCCCTCCTAAGATTTTCGAAGAACATGTTTCGAAGATGGGGTTATCTAAAGACCTTATTTAGTTGCATATTGTACTTGCTTACATTTAATAATAAAATTTCCTCATTGTTTTGTTTGTTTTGTCTCTGAATGTGTCTATGCATGCCTAAAGACATATAGACAACATTTATATACAAAATAATGTTATGGGCTTAATTGTCAATTTGATCCTTAGCTTATTTAAGTTTTAAATTTGGTATTGTAGTATGATTAATGGGGGTCTTGAATTGAATATCGATTAATTGATTGTATTTCTCTGCTACAATTCCGGTTTAGAACTAAAATGAGTATTAAAATCTGATCAGACTTATCTAATACTCATCATAAATGATTACTCGGCCAAGTGAGAGAATGTTGGACACAATTTTATTATGTGGCCTCAGTTATCATTTATCTAATTAATTGATCATTGACCTAATAAATACCCTACGTATTTATTTGGTAATTATTCGATGGACGTAATTACCCTTATGACCTAATTAGGGTTTCTCTTTGGGTGTATATATATAGAGGTCATTAGGCAGAGATCAACACACCAATCTTACGCCTTCTCTCTGCCTCTCTATTCTCGTGAGTCTCATCCTCACCTTAGCCATATACACCCTAAACGGGAACTCGATCTGCGTGAGAATCATGGCCTCATCTCTAACTACGTTTACAGGATTATCAGGTACACGTGATTAAATCCCTAATTTGTATTTTATGTTTAAGAATTGATCAACACAAAGATTGAATGAAACCACTTAATTACATAACCTACCAGTAGCATGGTCCCTCTAATACATTACAAATATTCATTACAAGTGATACATGCCAAAACAGTCAGATCCTACCTGACCACCAGACATATATTATAACATTCAACTCACAGTACTTAAAAAACATCTCTTCATTGAAATTGGTGACTTTCAATTGTAACCCAATATATTCCTATGGTGTATAAATACCCTTCCCCACTTACACACTACACACCCTTCCCCTATTACACACTACACACCCTTCCACCTTTACTTTATTACCCTAAATTCCTTTGCACCACTGTTTTTTTTTACAATTAGCCTTATAATTTCCAAAAAATGCCTGCCCTTTGGACAAGGTTGATGGAACTAAAACCATCTACTTTTCGTGCCAATCTAAAATTAAGATTAATTCGTTCCTATGATCTCATGTTGGAGAAATTTATGCTCGGGAGTGTATTTTCCACGACAATGAGGTATTTTTCATTAGACTTTTGTTTATTAGCCGCTTTTCCAAAAAAATTAATTTTATGGAAAAAATTTCAGGAGAACCACATCCTTGCAATCTATCAAAAGGAGGAAATACCAGTGTTTGGAGCAACACTAAAAGAAGGGAAGTTATATCGAATAAGTAATCCTGCAGTTCTATCAAATAACAAGCCTAACATTGTTTCAAATAAATTTAAGCTTTCACAAATCAGTGGTTTAATATATCAATCGAGAGATCTAAGGCATAGAATAAGAAGGGATTTTTTAAAAAAAAAATCTGCTACTCAGTGGGTTTAAAAATAGAACAATTAAAATCCTTTGATCTACCATCACATATAGGTATACAATGAGTTATCAAGAATATCGAATTGAAGGATCTAATAAGCGTCATATTTTAAAACCAAAGCAAGAACACAATGAGAAAGTAAAGAAGATGCACCATAAAACATGCATCTGGATGTTCAACGGTGCGTGGAGTTAAGGTCCAGGAAAACGAAGACGACGGAGGCAGCGAGGACTGGAGAAGTGATTGGATTTATTGAAATAATGAAATGGAAGAGGAACGGATGGGAGATGTAATTGAGATGAGGAGGAGCGGCGGGCAATCGGTAAATGAGACAGACCCAGGTGGATGTTTTGGAATGGGATGTACTACCTCCGTCAGAGTTGTAACTTTCAATACACTTCTTTAATCCACTTTTTTAATCCATTTTATCTTATAATTTGTACATTAAAAAATTATAGAAATTATATCTTAATAATCTATATGTTAAGACAAATCAAACAAGACTACATATGACTATATTTAGGCTTACACATTGAGAGAATTTGAAGAGTCAAATTACTTAGATGAACAGTTTCAAAAGTCAAAACTGGACGAATACTTCGAGACGGAGGGAGTGTACATAATTAGAGCATCAGCAATGGCAAGGTAAAAATGAAATGTCACACGGCGATATGGACTATTTCAACCAATAAAAAATAACTCAGTCACCGACTCACCGTATGGCAAATGAGTGGAGTGTCGTAACATACAGTGGCAAGTCATTGTTTTTATCTATTTTTGTACTTTTTAATAATTTTAATTATCAAAAATTATTTTACACATTTATTTTATTATTAAAATATGTCTACTTCTTTTAAAAAATATTTTTTTCAAAAATTAAAAATATTTAAAAAAATGAGGGAGTCATGCCTTGCACATGGAATGAAATGTGAGACGGGATGGCCATGGAATGTCATGATTTGAGTGACATTTGCTGACATGGCCAGGCAAGGCAAGGCATTGCCTTGCCATTGTGAATGCTCTTAATGCTAGGGATTACCCTGTACTGATATTTCTTATTTTATACGGAGTACTACGTATCAAGTTTTTTCAATTAATTTTATTTACATATTGGTATAGAAATAAAAAATAAAATTTACATATCAAAAAATTACATGAAAAGTTTTTCGAAATAAGAGGTGTTAAGAATATTTTATTTTATCTAATAACCAATGAAAACGTAAAAATAAACAAAAGTTCCTGTGACTTCTGAAAAAGTAAGTGTGGCAAACATTTTGGGACAGAGGGAGTAATTGTTATTGGTTTTGTTCACTTTTTTTTTACTACAGTTTGTATAATTTTTCAGTTTTTGCTTTTTGTTCAATTTTTTGCCTTTTCATTTTGCTTTGTTAAAGAAAATTCACCGTAAGTTTTATGCTCCATAGTTATTTTGATCAATTTTTTCTTTGTGTTCACTTTTTGGTTTTTATCTTTCTTTTTTGCTAAATTTTTTTCAAAGTAAATTTTTTTGTTTCACGTTATTATTATTTGAATTTTGAGCAATCTAAACACCATCTTTTAATATCCTACCAATAAAATATAATAAAATCTATCCAAATCAACATAGAATTAAAATAATTTGTGGATTTTACATTATCCATAAATGATACTCCCTCCGTCCTATATCTTTCTTCCCGGTTCGCAAAACGAAGAAAAATCCCAAGGTTTTTCAATCTATTTTATTTAAATATTGGTATAGAAATAAAAAATAAAACATACATATTTAAAAACTACATCAAAAGTTCAACAAAACAAGTGGTGACAAGAATATTTTATTTTATCATATAGGCCATGAAAAAACACAAATAAATATAAATTCCCGTGAAGTTGGAAAAGTGCTCTGGGAAGAAAGTTTTAGGACGGAGGGAGTAAATAATCTAATATGATCTTTTAGAATCTAGATAGAATATACCCCCATAATGAACAATTGAAATGCATTATTAAATTTAAAAATTTTTAGTCATGCAATTGTCTTCCTTAATGTCGATATCAATTTTTAATGCAAGTCTTTCTCTTTTTTTCCAAAACTACGGTTTGGCTCTTATCATCAGCTAGGATTTGACTATTCTCATCGATGACAATTTATATTTTCCATATTCATCCCGAATTATGTAGTTACTATATTTCCGTGCATCGCACGGGTGATACACTAGTGGAAGCCTAAATTGGCTTGAAGTGTGAAATGGCAATTATGAAAGTCAAACTCATCCTCCCCTCTCTAGTCAACTTTTTCAAATTTTAGCCACAAATTACGAAAAAAAATATTGAATTGTGATATACTCTCTCCATTTTAATAAACCTTACTCCTTTTAATTTTTAGGCAAAATAAGGAAAGTGCATTTATGGTTGACTTTTGAATTTTACCCCTTACAAACTAGTAACAAGCTGTGTTACAACCCTCTTTTGAACAACAAATCCGATCTTACTAAGAATAAAGTTACGGGCCTTATGGATCGAGACATTACTATGTACGACCTGATGGACCCCGTTAAGAAATTCCACAATTTATGTGGCTAGAGAATCACATGTACCAAAAGCAAATGCGATAAATAGGGGTGTACAAAATCCAAGTCGAACCGGACTGGAAAAACCGGTTTCAGTCTAGACCGGTAAAATTCTGGACCGGTCTCTGGTCTAAAGATATTGGACCGGTAAAATTCCGGTCCAAGACCAGATCGTTTCTGCGCCAGACCAGTAAGACCAGAATGTCTATTTTTTAAACAAATTTTAATACCTATAATACGGCGTATAAATATAATTATAAATACAATTGTATATTTTCATTTATTCTTCTTGTTTTAATACGAAGTATAATTTTTTAAATGTAATTTGTATTTTTAAATTCATTTCATTGACCTTTACCCAAGAATATCCATAATTATAAAAAACTAAAACTATTTCCCAAAAGTTAAAGTAAAATCTTTTGATTTAAAGTATTAAGTACTTTGACATATAAATTAGACTTGCTAAAACCAAAATACCTTAAAGTACAACTTTATAATATTTTTGAAATCCCAAAACTAACAGAAGTATAAAAATCATTTTAAACCTTTTATATTATTGACAAAAATATTACTCCCTCCGTTTGCAAAAAGACTTCTCATTTTGATTTGGGGCAAAATTAAAGAAGTGTTAAATTATAGTTGATTTCCAATTTTACCCCTGATGTGATGGATAGATTATTAGAGAAAAAGTATGATGTGATAGGTAGGGTATGGAAAAGTAAGGGTAAAAGTAATTTTTAAATAGAAAGTGGAAGTGTTTTGTTGAAAGTGGAAAAAATAAAAGATGAAGTGTTTTTGAAAACGGAGGGAGTATATTTTAATTTAATTTCTTGAAACACACCCAATGGATATAAAAATTAAATGTAGGGTTGAAATCAATTCAAGTCAAGCTACAATGTTGAAAAATAAGTTTAAAAAATTGACGAAAATAATTGGAAAAATTAAATTTCAGGTTTTCCAATTTTTACCCGGATCGGACCGGAATCTAATAGGTCCGGTTTCCGGGTTTTAGGGTTTTCCGATTCCGGTCCGGTCATGTCCGGTTCTGAACCGATGTACACCCCTAGCGATAAACATATGTTGATTTTTTAAGTAAGCTTTCTCGTGTTTAACCACTTTACCCAATTTTGCCTTCAAAATCGTTTGGCAAGCTACAAATCCTACAATAGATTTACGTTTGTTTTAGACCTAATGGTTTACTTATAATCAATCTAGGTTTGTTTTGGACCTACCGATTTATTTTGCTTTGTTTTTTTTATAGAGAAATTTACCTAAATAGGACTAAAACATAATGACTTTCCTAATATAGGACCATATGTTTTTATTTTTTAATGTAGGACCTTTGGTCATTATCACAAAGTCTTTATTCAACTAAATGTGCATCATTGCTGGACATTATTCCTTCCACTAGATCATTATTAAGTCCTATTTATGGAATAAAAAAGTTTAAGTCCTACATTAGGAAAGTCATTATGTTTTAGTCCTATTTAGTGCAAATTTCACTTTTTTTATCCAAACTTAATATCGAACAACCTTAGTTATAGGGGTGTTAATTTGGATTGATCCGGTCTGATCTTTCGGATTTCTAAAATTTAAAAATTTAAAAATAAAAAAGTTAAAAATTGAATAAAAAGTAAAAATAAAAAATATAAAAACTAAAAATCGAAATTTAAAATTTGAAAATAAAAAATTAAAATTTAAAATAAATTTAAAATTTTTAAAATATAAAATTTAAGAATTAAAAATTTAAAATTTAAGATTGAAGAATAAAAAATTTAAAACTAAAAACTAGAATTTGAAATTTAAAAATTTAAAACATAAATTTTCAAAATTCAAATAAAAACTAAATTAAAAACAAAAAATTAAAATTTAAAGATGAAAGAACTAAATTTTAAAATTAAAAAAATTTATATTTTCAAATTAAATCATTTAAATTTAAAATTTAAAATTTAAAATTTAAATTTAAAAAATAAAAATTGAAAATTAAGAACTACAAAATTAAAAAATTAAATTTTTAAGAAAAACTAAAATTTTCAAATTCAAAATTTAGAATTCTTTTTTTTTAAAAATTAAAGTTTATGATTTAAGACTTTAAATTTCAAACTTAAAAATTATAATTTAAAATTTGAACGAAAAAATAAAAATTTAAGGCAAATCTTCTCACTAAAATTTCTCGTTAGTTGAATCTCTTTATTCTATAAGTATAGTTTCCACTGAATAGGACTAAAACATAAGTCATTTCCCAATTAAGGACTTAAACTTTTTTATTCTTTAAAGGGGACTTAATAATAACGAGTGAGAAGAATAATGTCCATGTGATGCAGGACATTTAGTTGAATAATGACTACTCCGTAATAGATAATGATTATTGGTCCTACATTGAGAAATAAAAACATGTGGTTCTATATTGAGAAAGTCATTATGTTTTAGTCCTATTTAGATAAATTACCCATTCTAGAATTCCTAATGCATAAAATCATTCTAGTTGTATCATGCTTGCTTTGGTCTTAAAAAGCTTTTTCTATTTTGATCTTTTTGGTCAAATAGTGACACTCTTTGATCATAAATTTTGAGAAAAAATATATGTAATTATAAAATACAAATTCAATATAATTGGGTTCATCTTAGGATATTGTTTTGATATATGAAATTTATATTTTTTTATTTAGAGTGTGTTTAATTTGTGATAAAAAAGTGTCTATATCTGGCCAAAAAAAGTTAAAACAAGAAAAGTGATGGATACCCTGGACAGGGGGTATCCGATCTTTGTATAATATTGGTCGGGGCGGTCCAGTTTGTTGGACAAGCCCGTTTATCATGTATTAATTACTCCGTACTTTTTTTAGACTGTAAAAAAAGTTAAAACAAGAAAAATTTTAAGGAATGTGTTGGAATATCGGAATAATAATATTGCTCATTGAATTATGAAGTACATGATAGAATATATATAGAAGAGACTCCTAACACAACTAGGAATAGAGAATGGAAACTAACTAAAATACAACTTCTACCATAACTAAGAATACTTAATATTATTGTCTAACAGAATGGAAAGAGTACGTAGTATTTACTCTTCACTTACGAGGTAATATGGACATGTTTGGTTCACAAAGAAAATCGTTAGCAAATTTCACACATTTACTAATTGTGAACATCAATAAAAATTTAAAATAGTTTAAAATAATTTTAAATTGAGAATTTAAATCTGAAATAATAGGTTTGAGAAGTTTTTGACAATCTTATTTGTGGACCTAGCATTGCTTTATGAGGAGCTGGAATTGGTACGGTGGTGGTGAAGCCTGAATGGGCGGCGGTCACGCTGAGAAGAAGAAAAAAAGAAAATCTTATGGCTTTGATACGATATTGAATAATGGAATAATTGTATTTTACTTAATAATGAATACAAGACAGAATATATGTAGAATGAAAAACAATCCCAACTAGAATTAGGAAAACAAGAATAGAAGCTGACTAAAATACAAAGTCTATCATAATTAATATTGACCACAATTAATTTCTAACCAAAATGAAATATCACACAGTGACGTAGAGTATTTTAACTATTAAAAACCAGTCTAGTCAGCATGTGGTAATGAGTGGAGTGACATTCCTTCGAATGGCAAGTCATTATGTTGGTCAATTTTATACTTTTTAAACATATGTTAATTATTAAAAAGTATTTTACTTATCTTTTTTGAAAAAATAAATGTTCTCCTTTTTAAAAAAATCTTTATTTTTGTACAAAAAAAAAATTAAAAATTAAAAACAAGATATGCCTCGTGGTTGCCATGCTCGGCATGACAAAACAGCTGACGCGGGTAAATGGAGAATAGTGATGATGTGGCAGGGCATGACAGGCTGTTGCCTCGCCACTGCCGCTGCTCTCACATTAAATGTGCGATTAAAACGCATCCAAATTCTAGTAACATCGACACAAAATTTTTTAAAATCAAATAAACAAAAAAGACTATATTATATTCACTCTCTCTTTAAAAAAATGTGCTTAACAAAAATAGCTAAACCTATATAGAAATGTGCTAGAATGATTCATCAGATCCAACAAATAATTTCATTCATATGTATTAGAGTAGAAAGCTGCGTATAATCACAAGTTTAAATTTTTGGTTGAGTCAGTTCTTTGATATGATATCAAATTAAAGACTAAGAGGTCATGAGTTCAAATTTAACGTACTGCCACCCAATTTAAAAAATTAACTTTCATGCAAGGCTCGAACAAATTAAAAAAGATCTTGCCTGTACGTGAACACGCATGTTAGGATATAAAATTTATCATAAGCATAGAACTACAAGTTGGAGCTTTTGATTGAATCGATTTATAGACAATAAGTACTTATAGTGTTTAAATTATATTGTACAAAATATAAATATTTAAAGTTAATTAATTGAATCTGTAACACCCGGGCCCCACCCTAGCCGTAAGTGTCCGCTCATAGGATTGTAGACTGACCCCACAAACCAACACACGTCTTTCCCGCGCACTTTGTCCTCACTCGTGCGCGCCCAAGGAATTTCTCATGGGGTCACCCATCCTAAAATTACTCCAGGTCAAGCACGCTTAACTTTGGAGTTTCTAGGTGATGAGCTCTCGAAAAGAAGATGCACCTTGTTGGTATGAGTAGTACTATCAATCCTTTTGAGCTCTTCTCATTCCCATCTTGATACGGGGTATTACAGAATCAGAGTGGATTTAGCTAGCATGGTTATTCACTTGTTTCAGAAAAGTGAAATCACTCACCTCAGGCGCTCTCACCTCTCATGAACCCCAACCTTAAGGCCCCCCTCAGGCTTGACCGGAGAGTCACTAAGAGTTGTAAATTGGACTTTGATCACAGATTGGTAGCAAAAACTAAAATCTATATCTAGTAAGTACAGAAACTCTTGCTTAGCACAGTTGCTATATAGCCAACTGTCAAAAATCAAAATTGCACTTCTTGCTAGCATGGTTACTCACAAGTAGTAGGTGCATGGACGGAGGGAGGCAATGGTGGGGAAGGGCATAATAGTAAAAAACACGGGGAGAGGAGCATGTTGGCGTGTAATGATGGGAGTTTGTTGAAGTTTGCTGCTTTTGGTGGAACCGAGAGGTGCTTTTCTTTTTCCTTCTTTTCCCATCATATCCCCTTTTCAGACCCCTTTTTACCACCCGCCCCCACGCACCTCTCCCCTCCAATACATGCAATTTACAGCAACAGACAATGACTGCCACAAAGCAAATCCTTTTTTATTTTCTCATTTTTTCTTACTCCCTCCCTGCAAAGATAAATACTGTATTCTCATAGTTACCATCCATTATTTGATAAAATAAAATAGGTATATTTATATTTATTTTATAGAATTTTTTATATAACCTCATGCACGATACAATAGTAGTTCTTAAATATTTAAATTATATTTTTTTATTTCTAAATCAATTACTTCCTCCACCAAGTTAAATACTCCATTTGCATCATGCATAACAATATTTGACCAATCTTTTTTTATATTACTCCCGTCCCAGAGTATTTGTCCACTTTCATTTTTACACACCATCCAATGCATTTTTTTAATCCATTTTATCTTGTAATTTGTATATTAATAAATTATAGAAATTACGGAGTATATATTAATAATCTTTATGTTAACACAAATCAAACAAGATCACACATGATTATATTTAGGCTTACACATTGAGAGAATTTGATGAGTCAAAATGTTTAGATGAATAGTTTCAAAAGTCAAAAGTGGATAAATATAGCGGGACGGGAGGTAGTAGTGGCTTGGGAGGGAGGGAGGGATTAAATTAGGAGGAGAGGGCAATTTAGTGGGTTTGCAGTGCCTCGGCAGACTGAAACGCTCTCTCACACATTTGCAGTTGTTGGCTTCTCTCTCTCTCTCTCTCTCTCTCTGTGTATCTCTTTACGTTTCTTCCTTCTTTTTTTTTCTTCACTCGCTGCAGTGACAATCTTCCTTCTTTCTCCTTATTTCTCGCTGTATTTCAGGCCATTCAAAGTCCAAAAGGTAAAAAGGCTTGTCTTCTTGTTTTCCCCTCTTTTATGTTACTCCCATTCGTAAAACTTCACTTATGCTCATCACTCATTCCTCGTCTCTGTTGCCCTTTTGTAGCTTTGTGAGTTGAGATCTTGAAGATTTGTGTCTGTTTTGCTCCTGTTTTAGCCTTTTAGGGTATTGCACAAAAAAGTTTGTATTTTTATGTTTTTAAAGAAAATGTTTTGGGTTTCTGCGGCATGACATATGGCAAATCTGGGGTTTCATCTTCTTTGGTGGGTTCAGATTCATTGGTGAATTTTGAAGTTTCTCTCCTTTAAAGTGCATTTTATAAGCTTAGTTGCAGAATTTCCATGCTTAGACTTCACTGTCTTCCTCTGTGTTACTTTACCCTTTCCTCTTTGTGTTATAATTTCAATCCCTATCTTGTTTCAAGAAAAAGAAAAGAAAAAGGGGTTGCGTGATATCTTTTTGTAGTGAAAAGAAACAACTCTTGGCTTCTGTTCCTTCACTTAAAGCTAGCCAAGGGTACATTACATAAAGATTTGTGCTTTGGATGGGGCTGGATCAAATAACAAATACCATTCCCTGTATTTTGTTATACGATTTTGTTAGAAATAGTTGCAAATATAATCAAATGCTTTGTTGAATTGCCTGTTAATATTGAATTATTCCTCTTTTTTTAAATGAATATCTAAGCAGGTTGAGAGCCTAACCTAACTCAAGTTGAAACATGGCATCCCCAGCGACATTGGGTGAAGGACATTGTAATGCTTCTTCTCTAATGGCTTCTTCCTCAGCAGAAAGACTGAATCTAAAGGCTACAGAATTGAGGCTTGGTCTTCCCGGATCCCAATCTCCAGACCGAGATGAAGAACTCAACAACAAGCAAGAACCTGGAAAATTCGACGAAAAGCCTCTGTTTCCTTTGCTTCCTTCACCCGATGGAATATGCTCATCTCTCAAGACTTCAGGGAACAAAAGAGGGTTCTTATACACCATGGACAGGTTCTTAGAAACAAAGGACTCTAAGGCCACCGAGGCAAATGATTGGATTTTCAATGCACCCAAATCTGATTCTCAGGCTAATGTGAAGGGCAAGCACGCCGAAGCTAAGTATGTTCTTGAAAGCTAAAAAAGAATCCTTTTTTAAATAAATATACGTAGTTAACGGTGAAGTATGCAATAACTTGACATTGTATTGTAGGGCACAGGTAGTTGGTTGGCCACCTATTAGATCATTTAGGAAGAACACACTGACTTCCACCACTAAGGTTACCGATGAAGTTGATGGAAAGCCTGGGTCTGGATCCCTTTTTGTTAAAGTCAGCATGGATGGAGCTCCATACCTAAGAAAGGTGGATCTTAGAAAGTACTCCTCATACCAACAACTCTCTTCTGGGCTTGAGAAGATGTTCAGCTGCTTTACCTTAGGTTGTGCTCTTTTTTTTTTTTAGCATGACATTTTGAAGTTTTTTGAAATGATTTTGTACACTAACATGCCCCATCTATGGAACAGAATGTGTGGTTACATATGAGGATAAGGATGGAGATTGGATGCTTGTGGGAGATGTCCCTTGGGAGTAAGATGGACTCTTCCTTTAATGATTATATTTGTATCAATTGGTTAAATTCCTCCTATCTCTTTAGTTTCCTTCTTCTTCCCATTTGCTGGTTACTCATCTGCAAAACTGCTTTTACCACACAGTATGTTTATAGAGACGTGCAAGCGCTTGAAGATCATGAAGGGCTCCGATGCGATTGGATTGGGTTCGTTTGTGTTGTTTTAAATCAATTAAATTCCATTTCCCATTATTATGAAGATGCTAAAGATGTTTTTTTTTCTTTCTACTGTTTTGCAGCCCCAAGGGCTATGGAGAATGGCAAGAGCAGCAGGAAGTAGTTAATGGTTTGGTGGCAAGGTCTCTATTTGTTTGTTTGTTCCCATGATGTCTGATTATTTATGTTTAGTATGACTGAGAAGATGATGGTGGCTTCATCATAAGTAATATATATATATATATATATATATATATATATAGCATGTGGTATTGGAGCACATACTTATTAAGTGGTATGGACTATGGAATGTGATTAATTATTAGTTATTTTATTAAGAGACTTTGATTTTAGCAATGGACAATGTGATTTCCTGGGTTTATCTCTAGTGTTTGTGGTCTGTGAATTGTGAATCAACTATGAAATTGTGAATATCAAGAGTATAACGTCAGAGAATCATTTTAACGTAATGTTTGGGAATTAGAATTCAATTGAAATCCAATAATTTCAAATATTGTTTAAGAAATCATAGGATTTCAATTTTAGAATAATTCTGAATTCGACAAATATGGTGACGGTGGCGAGTTGATATATATGTATGGAATTATAGTTGCACAAGGAGATCAATTTTTAATTACTACGCATAAATTAAAGAAAAGTTGGGTTTAAATTTGTAAATGATATGGAAAGAAGTGTGAATTGTAATGATTATTTTTTTTGGATTATAAGAATTTGATGTAAACTCAAATCAAAATTCTTTGATTTTTCAAATAAGTGAGTATTAATCAAATACGATTTGTAATAATCAAACACATCATATGGGAAATGTAAGATGAAGTGAAGTCCCTTTCATCCACTATTTCATTTGCTCATTTCCATTTTTTTTATCCGTTAAAAAAAATGAATCTCCATCTTTGATGGTCTCTTAGGACATATAATTGGTCAATCAATAATTTTTGGGAGGTAAATCAACTATATTCTCAATTGAGCTATGCTAGGGGTACACCAAAAGTGTATCTTATTTGTCCCCTACCCCTTTCTCCATCACTCATTTTTATCCCATTTTTATTTATTTAATTTTTTAAAATCTCTTGCCCATTTTTGTGGTAATGGAGGGGGTGGGGGACAAATGGGATACACCAAAGGTGTACCGTGTACCCCTAACATTTCAGAGCGAAGTCATATCTCTTATGCTGGGTAAATTTCACCAATGGTACCTGAACTTTAGCTATAATTTCGAAGTGGTACCTGAACTTCAAATCCTTTCACAAAAATCACCCAACTTACACAATCCTTTCACTAATGAGCCATTAGCCCGTTTCTAGGTCAAATGCCGGTTACCATCCGACGTGGGTGCTGATATGGATGCTGAATCACTTCCCCTACCTCACTCTCTTTCCTCCTCACCTATTTCGTAGCATATAAACCGGCTCTGCACTCCCAAATCGCCACCCCTTTACCCGATAATTGCCAGAACCCTAATTTAGGAAAATGTCCAGCATCTCAAGCAACAACAGCCATGGCATGCAATTCGCGAGGTGTAGATGCGGAGAAAAGGTCGTTCTGAAGACAGTTTGGACTGAATCAAATCCTGGAAGGAGATTTCTGGGCTGTTCAAATTATGGGGTAGGTGTTTTGAAATTTTCAATTATTTGAGAGATTACTTCCATGGGTTGAGACACTTTGAATTTTTTTTTAATTTTGATCTTGTTATGCAGAGGCATAATTTTTGTAAGTATATGGAGTGGATAGATCCAGAAGTTCATCC